CATTTGCAAGTGGCGGTATGCCTACATTACCCTCCTAATTCGAACTAGGAGGGTAGTGTAGACATACCCTGATAGAGTGGCATTGATCCAGTTTATGTTGGCTGGAAAAAGTCTACTCAAAACATGCATGCACTAAATAATGCTGACCAAAGACTGACTTTGTAAAAAACACAGACTGCTTATGAATAATTCACAACCAGGAATAAACTATATTTTCTGAACAAAATATTTGTCACAAATTATTTGACCAGCAAGGCTTCCATGTAGCTTAGGGTTTTAAGTAAAGAAAATGGGATCCTTGCAACTAAGGTCTTTAAAATAGAAAAGTATCACTGTAGCCAGAGAGACAAATTTTCCTCTTTATTCCCAAATAAAGGGGTCATTGAGAACCTGCAGTGACTTCAGATTCACATTTAAAAGCAGTAGTCCACTAGTGATGCTGAATCTCATATGGCAGAAAAGTTTGGTGAGGATAAATAATTAACCTTGGCAGGATCAGATCAATGGGGTTATGCAGATTTCGAGTCTGATGATCTGGCCCCAGATGGTAATACAAAATTATCAAAAATACTTTGGGCTGGATATCAGGATTTAATAAGACTAAACATTTAATAAAACTAAACGTCATATGGGATTTCTATTGTTTTGTGGCATTCTTATGGTCATAGATGCCTAGAGAATAATTTCTTTCAACGTATCTTAAGTATTTCTACTTGTGTGTGACATGAGACACTACAGAGGTGTGTGAAAATTTTTATAAACCACACTGAAGCAAGCTCAGTACTCTGATTTGCTTTTCAGATGAAGATTCATATAAATTCTCTATTTCTAACCTCATTTCAATAAATTTGCAGACCCCTAATAAATATCCTAGTAATGATAATGTAAAAAAAATGTGCTGCTGTTTTTTGTTCTGTGAAATAGCTGAGTACTCGCTACACGCACAATTTACAGTAATTTGTACTTTACCTGGTGCAATGCTTTCAGGATTTGGTGGGCTCCGTGGGTCAGGTGTATTAGGAGGTGTCATTGGTGCATGCTGTTGGCTGACTTCAGCATTTCTAGTTTCCATTTTAAGAATTTGCATGGGTTCACTGCGCTGCATTAGAATAGAAACAGATACTATTGATGGTATGTGCGTGCCAAAGGATGTTATGTGACTCTGAATTAGGGAAGTATTATCTTCATATTATACAGATGGAAAACTGATGTAGGGTATACAGTAAGGCTACGTCTAGACTGGCATGATTTTCCAGAAATGCTTTTAACAAAAAGCACTTTTTGCGGAAAAGTGTCCGTGGCCAATCTAGATGCGCTTTTCCGCAAAAAAGCCCCGATTGCCATTTTTGCGATCGGGGCTTTTTTGCGCAAAACAAATCTCAGCTGTCTACACTGGCCTTTTTGCGCAAAAATTTTGCGCAAAAGGGACTTTTGCCCGAATGGGAGCAGCATAGTATTTCCGCAAAAAGCACTGATTTCTTACAGTAGGAAGTCAGTGCTTTTGCAGAAATTCAAGCAGCCAGTGAAGACAGCTGGCAAGTTTTTCCGGAAAAGCGGCTGATTTTCGGAAAAACTGGCCAATCTAGACACATCCTTAGTGATTTGCCCATAGTCACACAGGAAGTCTGTGTAGAGCTTAGAACTGAACTCATCTACTAGTCTAAGACCTAAATACAGTGAAATCTTTGTTATCTGGCACTTATGGAGAAAGGGGATTGCCAGGTAATTGAATGTGCAGGATAAAAACACACACACACACACACACACACACACAACCACTTTTTGCTCTGCCTCCTCTACTTCCTCAGCAGATTTGAGGGGAGTAGAGGGAGCAGAGCAAAAAGGCAAGCTGAGGGGGAAGGAGGTGCCAGCTGATGAGGTCATCCAGGAGAGTAAGCTTTCAGAAGCGCCTCAACAGCTGGCTGGACAGGAGGGAGTTGGGCACACACACCTGAAGATGTGTATTGTGACTGGGGACAATGCTGGTTAACGTTTTCTGGTTAACAGATTGCCAGATAACACAGCTTTCACTGTACTACATCAGTATATCTCAAAATTTTCATGTTGGTGACCTTTTATTCAAATGCAAAAATGTTTGCGAAAGACTCCATGTGAATTATGAAAGTAACAGCAAAAATGATCAATAAGAACAATGAAAAGTACAATTTAGACGTGTCTGTGTTTCAAGAGGCTGACAGAGAATACTAGACCTTGAAGAAGGGTAAGAGTGTATGGGGGTGGAGGAGCAAGATTTTCTTTGCTTTAGAGTGCAATACAAATTTAAATGCCTTAGGACCCCTGCCCTCCTATTGTC